CATTAATTACGAAGTGATCGTTGGATTAAGATCCTTGTTTCATGTTGAGATCTCAGTCAGAGGGTCACAGAGGGTCTCAGAGGGTCTCAGAGGGTCTCAGAGGGTCACAGAGGGTCACAGAGGGTCTCAGAGGGTCACAGAGGGTCACAGAGGGTCACAGAGGGTCTCAGAGGGTCTCAGAGGGTCACAGAGGGTCACAGAGGGTCACAGAGGGTCTCAGAGGGTCACAGAGGGTCACAGAGGGTCACAGAGGGTCACAGAGGGTCTCAGAGGGTCCAGAGGGTCACAGAGGGTCACAGAGGTCTCAGAGGGTCACAGAGGGTCACAGAGGGTCACAGAGGGTCTCAGAGGGTCACAGAGGGTCACAGAGGGTCACAGAGGGTCTCAGAGGGTCTCAGAGGGTCACAGAGGGTCACAGAGGGTCACAGAGGGTCTCAGAGGGTCACAGAGGGTCACAGAGGGTCACAGAGGGTCTCAGAGGGTCACAGAGGGTCACAGAGGGTCACAGAGGGTCTCAGAGGGTCTCAGAGGGTCACAGAGGGTCACAGAGGGTCACAGAGGGTCTCAGAGGGTCTCAGAGGGTCACAGAGGGTCTCAGAGGGTCACAGAGGGTCACAGAGGGTCTCAGAGGGTCTCAGAGGGTCACAGAGGGTCTCAGAGGGTCACAGAGGGTCACAGAGGGTCTCAGAGGGTCTCAGAGGGTCTCAGAGGGTCACAGAGGGTCTCAGAGGGTCACAGAGGGTCACAGAGGGTCTCAGAGGGTCTCAGAGGGTCACAGAGGGTCTCAGAGGGTCACAGAGGGTCACAGAGGGTCACAGAGGGTCTCAGAGGGTCTCAGAGGGTCACAGAGGGTCTCAGAGGGTCACAGAGGGTCTCAGAGGGTCTCAGAGGGTCACAGAGGCTCTTTAAAGTTATTCTGAAATATTACTTTAGAAAGCTGCACTGTGATTGGCTGCTGCTGCACACAGGAGCCCCTCTGAGGTCTGACCTAAATGCACACCTTTCATTAACACACACACACACACACACACACACACACACACACACACACACACACACACACACACACACACACACACACACACACACACACACACACACACACACACACACACACACACAGAGAGAGGATATTGGATACTCAGGTAGTGTTTACATTAGTGTGTGTGTGTGTGTGTGTGTGTGTGTGTGTGTGTGTGTGTGTGTGTGTGTGTGTCTCCAGACAAAGTGTTACCATGGTGCACCTGTCAGTCACCTGCTGGGATGATGATGAGATGACACACTCTCACAGCAGGACACACACACACACTCTCTCTCTTTTTCTCTCCTCCTGCAGAGTGTGTGTGTCCTGATTTCTCTCTCAGATCAGATTTAAAGTGTGATTGGACGGTGTCTTCACGGAGGACTTTAAGGAGGACTTTAAGGAGGACTTTAAGAAGGACTTTAAGGGGGACTTTAAGGAGGACTTTAAGGAGGACTTTAAGGAGGACTTTAAGGAGGACTTTAAGGGGGACTTTAAGAAGGACTTTAAGGGGGACTTTAAGGAGGACTTTAAGGAGGACTTTAAGGAGGACTTTAAGGGGGACTTTAAGGAGGACTTTAAGGAGGACTTTAAGGAGGACTTTAAGGGGGACTTTAAGAAGGACTTTAAGGGGGACTTTAAGAAGGACTTTAAGGGGGACTTTAAGGGGGACTTTAAGAAGGACTTTAAGGGGGACTTTAAGGAGTGTGTGGTTCAGGTTCTGGAAGAGTCTCTGGTTCTGTGTGTGGATTACAGGGTGTGTTTTCTTCAGAGGTTTTTAACGTGAAGAGGACTGAGGAAGAGGACTGAGGAAGAGGACTGAGGAAGAGGACTGAGGAAGAGGACTGAGGAAGAGGACTGAGGAAGAGGACTGAGGAAGAGGCAGAAGCTGTACTAACGTCGCTGTTTTAACATTTCAAAACAACCCCCTTCTGTCTACAGGAAACCACTGCAACTTAAAAAGGTAGAAAAAACATCAAAGACTTTCCTATCTTTACAAACCCAGGAATAACTTGGGAGGATAATAATGAGAACAGATATCAAAGTGTAAATGTCTCCCTGAGAACTGAGATGAATCAGGTCTGTAATCAATACCCTTTTTAATAGATAAGGGTACTTACAAACAACACTTACTTTTTACAAATCAACCAAAACCCTGAGAAGAAACTGACTTTAAATCCTCCCTCTGAACAGAGTTTATATATGATGATGATGATGATGACGATGATGATGAAATGACCCTGAATGTCTCAGAGTCTCTCTGAGTTTCATCAGGAAACAAGAGATCTGAAGACGTTGGATTTTTGGAAATAGGAGGTCTTTTTGTACCTTTCCCTGACGGATGGTTGGTGAAGTGGTGAGTGGACTACCCTCCAGATGAGCTGCAGAGAACTACAGAGAGATGGAGCTCAAATCTAAATAGATTTTCTTCCACAAACTATTCACCAAATGTATGGAGATTTTTCAGATTCTTTATTTTTCAGATATTTTTGACATATTCAATAAAATCCTCTCCAATCATTTTTTTTTATAATATTTAAGTTTAATTTTTTCACACATTTTCTGTACATTTTTCATTTATATTTATATTCAGAAAAGATAAAATACTACATTTTGTTTCCCCAAAACTATTCACCAATTTGATGGAAAGGTTTTCATGTGTTTTCCTGACATCTTCAAGAACAATTCTCAGTTATTGGCAATGATGGTATGAAAGCTGAATACAGTGTAATCCTAATGACATGTAACTGCTGATGCTTTAAATGGATGTGTGAAACAGATGTATTTGGACACGGGGGTTTTATGACACTACAGGAGGAGAGGATGAGTAGAAGGAATTAGCGATAGGGGTTATCTGTATATCCTTTAGTGCAGACGTCATGCTTGCAAGCTTTAAAGGTCCCATGTCTCACGGCCATTTCTACTGATCATAATTCCATAGTTGAGGTCTACTAGAATAGATGTACATTGTTCAATGTTCCAAACTCACATTGGTTCCTCATACAGCATCTCTGTATAGTATGTGTATTCACTCTCTGTCCTACACGCCTTGTTGGAGCTCCCCCCCCCCCCTCCCTGTGAGCCCACTGTGCTCTGATTGGTCAGCTCGCCCACTCTGTTCTGATGAGTCCACCACCGTTACAGCGGAACATTAGAGATTATGTTTTACAATGGCGTTTGTTAGCAACCAGGAAATGACACCAGTAATGACAAATAGATGAGAATGCTGCGTGGGGTCTGGGTGCCGTGTTGGGGGGACGTTGGGGGGCTCGCTGCTGTGAGGAGCGGACAGGGTGAGGTGGGTTCATTTCCTGCTTACTGCGTGGGGTCAGCGAGACACAGCGAAGCTCAGCCTGAGCACACACACACACACTCACACACACACACACACACACACACACACACACACACACACTCACACGCACACACACACACTCACACACACACACTCACAGCCTGAGCTCCGAGTGTGTGTGTGTGTACGGAGCTCCGCGCAGCACCGCGGCTGAGAAAATATAAGGCTGAGTGTGTGTGTGTGTGTGTGTGTGTGTGTGTGTGTGTGTGTGTGTGTGTGTGTGTGTGTGTGTGTGTGTGTGTGAGGAGCTTGGTCCAAATGGACCAATCCGCTTAGCCGTTACGTCACTACTGTTGGTGCTTCCTGTAAATGGTAAATGTTCTGTACTTATATAGCTCTTTATCAGGGGCCCCTCAAAGCGCTTGATATAGTACGAGTCATTCACCCATTCATACAGAGCAGTGCGCTACTGAGGAAAGACATTTTTTCACACCGTTGGCGATCAGGAACGACTCTGGGTTTAGTATCTTGCCCAAGGAAACATCGTCATGTTGACTCTAGGGTCCGGTATCGAACCAGCGACCGCCTCCTGATTGAAGATGTGCGCCCTCCCCCATCTGTACGCGGCTCTGATGGTGTTCTCCTGCGTGGCCTCGGTCAGCGGGAACCTGCTGCTTCTGCTGCTGCTGCTGCAGCACAAGAATCTGCGCAGCGACACCTTGATCCTGACGCTCAGCTGCTGTTTCAGTGACATCACTCTCAGTCTCTCTGCCTTCCCATTGGCTGTTTACCACGCTGTGTCACACCCCCCCGGCCCCCCCTCCAGTGATGGAGTCCTCTGTCAGGGAGGGGGTTTCCTGCTTCTCCTGCTCCAAACCTCTTCTCTGTACTCGTTGTTCTGGACCTCCGTGGATACGTTTGTGGATATCTGCTTTGCGTTGATTTACAGCATGATAGTGACGCCGGGTCGATGCCGCTTGGTGCTTCTGATGATGTGGAGTGGCTGCCTGGGGGGGGCCGCGCTGCCCCTAATGGGGTTCGGACACTACACCTACAGAGAGGACAGATACCTGTGTGGGCCAGACTTTAGCCCCGCCCACACAGCGTTCGTGATGCTGTGGTTGGTGGGCATGTTTGTGCCGCTGATCGCCATGGTTTCGCTGTACGGACACGTGGTGATCGTGGCGAGGAAACAAGCGAGGAGAGGAACGTTCATCTGCAACGAGAAAAACTGCCACTACGTTCCTGCTAACATCTACCTGAGGAGCTCCATCGCCATGCTGTCCACCTCAGGTGACACACACACACACACACACACACACACACACACACACACACACACACACACACACACGAGATAGTGTCTTCTGGCAGAGTCCAGGAGGATACAGTTTAAAGCTCCCATGTAATGCTTTTCCGGTTATTACCCGTCCCCTTGTGTTATGAAGGTTTTTATGCATGTAAACGGTGTGCAGAATCAAAACCCTCAAAGTACACCCTGTAGCGAGTAAAACTCTAACACAGAAAATACCTCCCCAAAACGCCTCGTTGGAGATACGTCACTGCCCATTTGAGTCTTCCATTTAGTTCCGGGTACGGCATGATGTCATGCGGTTCGGTTAGTTAGCGTATAAAATATACGGCTGTACCGAGGCCATTATAAGACTGTTGTTCCGCTGAGAG